ATCTAGCCACTTGGTTATGTCTTCATAAAATATGTCACATAAAATATGTGTATACATATATAAAAATTAAAGATACACATGGGTTAGGGTTAGGAAGCGAGTTAAGTGGCTGTAGAGTGTGTCTGAGGTGAATCCACAACAGCCAAGAGAGTGAGAAATCGCTGCAACTAACAGTGGTGGTCTTGTCCTTCCATGTTGTGCACATTATGCAGAACTCAGTCATACTACGCACTGCAGCCTGAACCTCCAACCTTAAAAATTAGTTTTCTACAATCTTCAATACTTACTCAACACACTATCCTTTGCCAAGACTTAATATTCTAATATAACCAATTCTTTGTCATATTACAGTCTGATAATAAGAGAAGTACAGAAAAGGGGGTCAGAGGAGCTGTGGTGGGGGATGAGCGGTTGTTTCTCGTGAGATTTGTATTTTACAGTCTGATAATAAGAGAAGTACAGAAAAAGGGGTCAGAGGAGCTGTGGTGGGGGATGAGCAGTTGTTTCTCGTGAGATTTGTATTTCTGAACTGAAGTTAAATTGTGCATTCATCCTAAATGCTTTAACACACCTTTGTGGTGCTGATATCTTGTAGTTGTACCTTCATGAAGGTGGCTCTGGTTGTAGAAATGTGAGACCAAAATGAGTGGTAGATCTTCTTAAATTTTGAGTTAATTGTTACCAAGTATGTTGCACATATTGTACCTTTTTTCCATCCTTTGAAAGTATTAATCGCTGTTTTGAGGAGTTTCTGTTAACAGACTCGTTTACTGATGCTAATAAAGGCTACTTTCAAAATATTTTATCTTAAAACTTCTAAAGCAAAATAAATTGAGATTGTATTCTTAGAATGAGGAATCTTTTAAGCTGAAAAACAAATTTTCCTCTAAAGGAATTTTTTATTTTAGACAGACATATCGAAGAAGAATGACCCTTTTGCTCCTGGTGGTATAACTGTTACTACATCAAATGATCTAGGTAAGAGCAGATTATACCCATCAGACTTCTTGTTTGGTTTTTTTTTTCTTATTTTTATTTCTAGTCTTTTAACTGAATTTGCGATGGAGCATTTTAGGGATTTCCTACGTTTTCTGAATTTTCCTATAAAGTATGACAGAAGGTGCAAGTTTGGGGGGGGTATTTTTGTAAAAGAAAACTGTCTCATTCTCTGTAGTGTATAATGCTGAAGACTGATTCTGCAGAAACATTCCTCTGCCTTACCTAAAACTGGTGACATATCCTGATCCAAGTGTTTGGACTATTTGAATGATTTGTACTACTTCCCATTAGGGTTGTTTTAGTGATTTCCTGTTAATTTTTAAGTGATGCACCAGATAGCTTTGTACTATGAGAGGAAATGTGAGATGGAATAACTTCATCAAGAATTTTTACTGCTAAAGTTTGCTCCTTTTGTTTTGCTATGACTCTCTCTCATCTGAGGGCTGAAGCTGTTCTAGGGAAGACTCTAATCTGCTGTTTTCCCAAATTGCACTGATGAGTTTTAATCCAAAACATTAATCCACATGTGATTTCATATTGTAAATCTGTTCAGTTTAATTGTAGGAAAAAATGCCATTTTCTACAACCACAGAAGTTGAGTATTGGCAAAGACAATTGCACTTGTTGCTTTACAGTTAAATAGCAGTTTTTACATATTTCGAGGCACATAGGAACGAAAGGGTGCTGTGAATTAGATTGAGATGATATGAGGTTTAGATATTTGATTCCACAAGTGGGCCTACAGTCAGAAGTGAGCTCTTGTTCACCTTAATATATAGGTGTGTCTGCAAATGTATATTTACAAGTGTATGCACACAAAAAAATACCTTTGTGTGTATACATACATGTACCTGAGCAGAACATCCAGTAGAAGTGCTCACCTCATAAAATACTTTACTCGAATTAGTCTGTGCTGCAAAATATGTAACAATTGCTTTTTTTGTTGTAGGATTTTTTTCAACCTCTTTCATATTTAACTTTTAATGTAATTTTTTGCTTGATTTGTGTGTATTTAGCTTCAGACCCCTTTGCTTCTCTGTTTGGAAATGAATCCTTTGGAAGTGGCTTTGCTGACTTTAGTACGCTGTCAAAGGTAATGTGAAACTACCACTCATAGAAAATGCATGAACCTCTACAGTGATGAGACATAGCTTAATCTCTCTACCAGCAGTTACAGTTTTACCACTACTAAAAATTTATAATAGCTGACATTCTTGAAAAAGAGGTCTTTATAGTAAATTGTCCTGCAGTTCCACTGTGATGTAATCTTTGTGGTTTTATAAATATTTTCTCTATATTTGAAGTGATTTTTTTTTTTTTAATGTGCTGAGTGTAACAGCAAAAGTATTACTTTTGCATGTATAACTGCACTCAGCTTTATATTTCTGTGCACTCGTAGCCATTCCTGATTTTTCTTTATTTTCAGTCTTCTGGAGGACATGGATGATAAACATAAAAGTATTTTCTTTTTGTCTTAGTCCACACTTTCAGTTCTAAATAAATACTGCGTTATTGAAAAGAAGAAGTATATTAGAATTCCACTGAAAATGTGTATGTTGCTGTTTTCTTTGTTGAAGGCCAACAATGAGGATCCATTTAGCTCTTCCACATCAGGTTCTGTCAACAGTGTGGTAATAACTAAAAACTTATTTGAGGAACCACCAGCTAAAAATGAGGATGTTCCTCCTGCATTGCCCCCTAAGACAGGAACTCCAACAAGGCCCTGTCCACCACCACCTGGTAAGAGCTGATTCTGAGATGTTGTTAACAATTAGTTTTTTTCAATATTTGCAGTAGGACAATAATTATGAGGGGATGAAGTGTCTGAATTTAGAATGAATGAGTAAGATGTGAAACAAGTCTGTTCCTGATCTGTTGGTGGTTTCCTCAGAGGCAGCATTGTGTTTGGAATCAGATTGTTTTTTGAAGTTGAATTCAATAAAGGCTTTAGAAAACAGGAAATACAGAGTTATTACAAGTATCTGCAGGAACATAGCATGGCTGCAAATTAAATGGCTACTAATGTGATACATTGTGAATCTTGCATTAAATTACACTTAAAGTGAGAATTCAGTGTGTTTTATCCCTTGCAGAACCTCTGGTTTTATTGCAAAATTAATTCAATAGGGTTAAATTACTATCTCAGATTTTCAGATTAGCTATTTCCAGGTGGCCTTGCCAGAGGTCTGTAGTAGTAAACCCAGCCAACATAATACTGATAAACCCAAGTTTCCTTTGCTGTTCTCTGTTCAGTGATCACCAAGTCCTCTAGTCTACTCTGTGATACAAACCACCCTGCTTTACCAAAAAGGCTGTGATTATCAAAGATAACAACACCTTCTTGTGGTTGCAAGAAGCCCATGTTACAACAGGCTCTTCACTCTCATTTTTTTGCGTAGATTAGAAAATATATTACTAGTATTCCTGTTAAAGTTTCTGTCCTTTGTTTCTTTTTCTTTAAAAACTACTGCGTAATTTTTTCATTATTACACTATATAGATGAATCTTAAGGTGTTTTGTAAAACTGCATAGCCTCAATCTTAAACAAGTATTCATCTTTTTCCTCAAAGGAAGAGGAACACAGTAAATGTAGCACTATTAATTAGACTAAAGTTTAAACTCAGCTGTTTAATTTCTAATGTTGATGCGAGATCTCGTGCATGCTCATGCTTTGCAAGTGATCAGTTTAATTGTAAATAACATTAAAACAGCTGACATAAGTGAAGACAGTGTTTCCTCTTATGGTGTTCCTTATTAAAACAAAAAAAGGATTTTTGACTGAATTGTATGGGAGTGGCTATGACACGGGGTACAGATCCGCTTTTAGAATGCAGGCTACTAGTAGCAGAGCAACAGTGTCCGTATCAATAGGTGACTAGAAAACTGTAGCCTGTTTTGATTTACACATATTAAAAATGATAATGTGGTTATCTTCATAACCATGCCCCAGAAATTATTTTCCTAATTGAAATATAAAATGGAGATACTTAAGTGTATTATTTTTTAATTACTCCCTTGGTCTGATTCAAAACAAGAGAATGCTTTTTCAAATAAATGCCCCCAGATCTTTCTCTTAATTAGTCATGCTACTGGAAAGTGAGCAGCAGGGCTGTTTGCTTGCCTGTGAAATCAGTTGCCTATCTAGATACTGATAAGCACCCTCATTTCATTATTTTTTGGGGGGCAGATTTGGAGGCTGTATACTTCATATTCTTTTTAATCCTTCCCATATAGAAATAGAATTCCCTAGATGTCATTTGAAGCTGCTTCTCTCACATTATTCAAGAAATAGACATGTGTTGTTTGCCAGTAATAGAACATCATCAGTGAGGGAAAGCTGTTGTGGCAAGGTTATCTCCAAAGTGTCCAAATAAATAATAGAATCACAGGATAGTCTGGGTTGGAAAGGACCTTCAGAGGTCATCTAGTCCAACCCCCCTGCAGTCCCTGTATTCTTGCCAGGATACCTGTCCCTGCTTCCACTGTCTGTGTATTTCCATCTTACCTTTTAGTTTGACCAGCAGGTCTTGACTCAGCCATGCTGGTCTCTTGCCTTCCTTGCCCAATTTCTTACACCTGGGGATTGAGAGCTCTTGTGCTCTCAAAATCATGTTTTCCTGAGGGGGTATTCTCTAAATTGTTGCCAAATTAGAATCTCTTTTAGTCTACAAAATAATTTTTAGACTAATTTGCAATAGTGATATGCAAAATAATAAGCTAGCTTTCAGATAAGGTTTGATTCTGCAGTTTTAATCTAAAATACAACAGAAGCAAGTTTTTAAAACACAACCATTGTAAGTGTCCAACCACTTGCAGAACCTGCTAGTTCAAGAAACTGCAATGGAACCTTTTCTGTGAGCAGTAACATATGGAGCGAATGGTGGGATGAAATTCAGCTCAACTTTTCTTGGAAGTATTTGGGCTAATGTACTCAAAGGTGTTGAAAACTGACTGAAATTAAGCTGAAAAAGGAACAAAATAAGTGGAGGCTTATGCCTGATTCTGTTGTATCTGCAGCTGCTTAGGCAAAGGTTACCAAAACAGTTAAGCCTGTGATTGCTTGTTATCCTACTCCTTCATTCTCTTGGTTTAAAAACTACAGACATTCCAGGTGTTAGCATAGTGACAGGACATGGTGTTTTGAAGACTTACAAATATATTTCTGGTCTCTCACTGAAATTGTGTTAACTTGATCCAAACAAATAATAAAAGAGCCTTGCTGGAACAATCATGGACAGTTGATAAGCAGAATTAAAAAGAAATATTGTGCTGATAGAATAGGGGCTCAAAACTGTTAGAAATTCTCTTGCAAAAATAGTTAATTAGTGCAAAACTGTGGTCTTGAATCATTAATATACATGTGTTCCTTTTTTACCTGATTACCCTTTAAGAAACTATGGACTGTACCATAATTTTTTAAATTGGCAACCCTTCCTCTGAAGTCATTGCAACTCCACTAGTTTACAAGAAGAGGTTGCATTCCAAGTAGCTTTTGAATTTGTTTTTTTACTATTTTTGGCATGTTATTACCTGCTATCTTAAATTCGTTTTAAATTCATTTTAATCTAAGGGAAAAGACCTATCAATCAAATAGACTCTTCAGATTCCTTTAAACCGAGAGATCCATTTCAGCCTTTCCCCACCCCAGACATTCCCAAAGAACAAGAAGCAGATCTATTCTGTGATCCATTTGCTCCCACCAGCATCAGTAAAGAGGCTGACCCCAACAATTTTGCAAACTTCAGTACTGTGAGTAAACACTTTTTACATTTGTTTCAGTATAACGACAGCTTTGAATTGTTCACACTGAAGTCTTCAGTCTAAATTAAAATCTATCCCATGTACAAAAGGGATAGCATTTCCATTTAAAACAGTATTTACATTTAGTTTACAGCTGAGGCTGTCCTAAAACAAAATACTGCAAAATGTTGTAGATAATGTTTAAATTGCATTGCTTTTGTAAGTTTTTTCATGGAGGCCTCCTAGCCTTTAGAAAATAGGACTTTTAAAATATCTGTGTTCTAGGGATTATCCATTTTATCAGACCATGTAGCAGATTTAAACTGTGTATCTATAACAAGCACACTGTTAACCATCCAATTAAAAATAAAACAAAAGGTGTGATTTTTAATTTAGCTGTCACTGAACTGTTTGGTCATAATTTCAATGTACTGAAATATGAATAAACAGCCTCATCATGGTTTACGTTAATGAAATACAATTTGGTGAGTTTTGAATGGCTAGTAAATTCCAGACTTATGTGCAATGAAGTAAAAAGTAGTAAGTGTCTCTTTATAACCAGAATCCATTTCATAGAAGTCGTGGTGTCCAAGCAGTAGAAGCAAATCTAAAGGTTTGTGCATGCCTATATATATATTTTATTATTTTTTTTTTTCCTTTTGACCTTTTGCAACTAGGAGTTTTGAAAGGCATTATTTCACTTTCAAGCTTGATACCTGTTAAATGCAATTTGCATTTACAGTATCTTGATCATCCTGCTTTTTTTATTTTCAGGCCTAATAAACTATGTGCTTGATTGAAGTAAACTGAGGATTGACAGGCTCTCAAAATTGACTTGCACTGGTTGATGTGTCTTGTAGCATGATAATTTCTGAAATGCTGTTACTGTTACCACTGTTACTAGCTAGAGAGACTGAGAAGCCAGTTTAGAGGAGAGAATGAAGTGTGGAGGAAAAAGCAAAAATGTTCATTATCTTTATGAAGGAAAAAGTAGCATTTTCCAGCTGCAGTTACTGAAAATACTAAGTGAACTATGGAGAAAACTCAAGCTTTTCTACATTTATTTCCCAAAGAAGCAGCTCAAACCAGGAACTAGGTGGAGAATATTATGATAACCCTTTCAAATTTAACATTGGGACATTCATGAAGACATGGGCTTTGCCTACCTCTTAGCTTTACTGCATGCTGACTACAAACAAACTTTAGCATAACCTTTTGTATTTTTTTTAAGATAATATCCTTAACTGTCTCTGATTCATATAATCATTGTACCATAGAAATTTAGTTCACAAAAATTCTGTTTGCACCAATCTTCATGGAAAGAATGTGTTCTTTTTTATTTTCTCTTGTATCACACTGACCTTTCTCTGTAATACTACTAGTCTTCTACACCTTATTATTTTGCTGTTTCTTGGCAGAAGTATTTTTCATCTGCACGATTAAAAACAGTCATTCTACAGCTATTTTTTGCAGACATAGTTACCTGGAAAAATCATCCCTAATGGAAGTAGCGTAAATCAGGATGTCCCACGGTGTGGATAGAGGTGTATTTTGCAAAATGTTCTCCTGATTTATTCAGAATTTTTCTTGTATAGACTTTTTTTTAAAATCCAAAATAGTTTGAATCTAAATTAATCACTTTCTGCTCAGTAACTTTTTTGAAACTTAATACTGAATTTTGAAACATGGCGTATTTCATAAAAACATATAAATTGGATGGCTTCAATGCAGTTCTTAATAGTTAAACCAAGATAATAGTAATACTTTATTCAATTAAAAAGCAAGTAATATTTGAAGACTAGAATATATACAATTTTTTAAAAACTGTAATTGTCCTGTAAACCAAGGTCTTGGACAGTATTAGTTATCATTGTATTATTAATCTGGTTTATTTTGTCTTTTAAAAAATGCAGTATTCTACTGAGGAAGACATGATTGAATGGGCTAAGAGGGAAAGTGAGAGAGAAGAGAAAGAGAGATTGGCAAGACTAAAACAGCAAGAGCAAGAAGACTTGGAACTGGCTATTGCACTCAGTAAATCTGAAATATCAGAAGCATGAAGTTTAGAATAAGATTGTCTTATGTCAACTGTTTTGTCCCTTTTCCTGAATACCTAACCTATTGAAATATTAATCAGAAAATACATATATACAAGAAACTATGAAAGGTTTTAAATTTTTGAAAGTGGTATAAATGTTTCTGCTAAATTCAATCCTTTAGGTTATTATTGTTTGAATAACTTAAGTTTAGCATACAATTTATCTCAAGTTTTCAGGAGAACAAAGTACTTTTTCCAGCTGTAAGCAAATCAGTTTAAAATGCAGATAAGTGAGATTGTAGTTTGACTGTAATCTGTCAGCAGTTGGTAATTGAGCATAAAGTGAACATAGCAATTATTCAGCCATGGCTGACTGTCTCCCATCAAGCAGTTAGTCATCTGAAACCTTTTATCCTTCAAAAGAGATTTTAATAATGCCAGAGTTGTGGAGTGCTTTATTTTATATGTATGCATATAGATTTACCTCTTCATTGAAGATTCTGTATTTGGATTTGAAATAACAATCTTCATAGAGTCTAAGTCAGAAAGCGTGTGTCTTTCTGAAACCTTTAATGCTTTTCTTGCATGGTCTTAGGTTTTAAGACAGACCTGTTATTTTGTTTTATAAAGCAGTTAAGTTGAAGGTTTATGTGCATTTGCTGTTGGCCAAGATGGCTGTCAAATTATGAGACCCCACTGCTATTTGAGCCACTTTTGCCTTTGAAATATGCAGCTGAACTGGCAAGTTAATAAGTTCAATTTGAAATAGGATTGAAAATAGAAATTAAAAACAAGTAGTCTGATTTTTTAATTTTTTTTTTTTTTTTTTAACCAAACAGTTATTTTCTGTATATGTAATTTATTGAATGCCAACTGATAGTTGCACCTTAAACTGAATGATTTCTTTATGGTCACTGAGTCAGAGTAGGATTGATAGTTTTTTTTAATGAAAATAACTTAATGAAAATAACTTATTGTTCATTTTGGAAGAACTCTATTCTGGAGAATCAGTTTAATTAAAATAATTCCAAAAAGAATAATCTTTTGCCCTAAAAAAAAAAAAAAAAGATGGCAGCAGCATAAACATCAAGAGTTTGGTTTTTGTTTGGTTTTTTTTCTTGCACTTTTAACCTGTGGTATTTCTGTTGAGGAAGTTGAAGTGTTTCAACACACAGCACTGGAGGAGGAAAGGGGGAGAACTCAGCCATGCTTCAGTGTATTTAAGCTCTTCCCATTACCTATCTATGCTGCTGTTGCACAAGTTTGAGAGTAGTTTTCAATTTTTCAGGAAAAATGGGTAGCCTGACTGGGATGGTTTTCCTTTTGCACTGGGAAATGAGCATTTAAACACCTGCTCAAAAAAAGTAACTTAAAATTTTGCAAGTATTAAATGGTTGTAACTTATCTATACATCTTTGTAATAAGTGTACACTAATCTTGCAAATCATATGCTTAACTGGATTACATAGTTTCTTATCTTTTGTTAAAAATGTATACTCAGTGGACCAACACAATATTATATGTATATATTATATATATATTCCTGCTTTCCTTTACGGAATTTAAAGTTTTGAGTCATTTGATGTTACATTTCATGTTACTGACTCTGACTATAGTACTTTTACTCAGACTACCAACAAACCACTGCTGTGAGCTAAATGGCATTACTTTATGAAGTTTTAACTTTTTTTTTTTTAAAAAAACTTGTTCAGGTGGGATTAGCCTCTATTTATAGACTTCCCTTTTGTTTAAAAATTCTAACAATAGCCTGTAATTATGAAGAAATAAAGTTTAAGTACATAAGTGTGAACTGTTTGCCTATTTTTTCAAAAGGGTGCTGTGAGCTGTAAAGCAACATGTAAATGTAATGCAAACAATAAAGTGTTCCAATTGTAGTTTGATGGGAGCGGGTTCATTTGCAGAGAGAAAAAAAGTTGCCTGAATCTTGAAGTTAGCTGAAGTGCACACTAATCCCAGCTGTCCCTTGCTTCATTAGGAGCTGTGACAGCTCCAAAGAAAACTCGGGCTACTCTTGTCCAAGGATTTTTGCCTGCACAAGGGTTGCACAACCCAAGTGTTTAAATACTTAAGATTTATCTATGGAGATACATAAGCAGTGTCTACTGGCTGCTGTCAACATACAGAGCTTTAGAGATCTTTAGTTTGACCCAGCATATTTATGATTCTTCTAGTATGTCTGTCAGCATGACTCCTTTATGCCAAGGCTTAGGGTGCTTGGTCAGAGGTTTAGGGCTTCCAGCAACCATTTACATGTCTCTGATCTTTGTTACAGTAGTGTTAGGTTTTAACATACTCATCTAAGTGGACCCAAATCTCTTTGCCTGTTTTCCTTTTAATGAGACATTAGTTGAATTAGGCAAAATAATATATTTGTAAATTGTGTCAGGTTCACACGCATTCTTGAGGATATTTGAAACTTTCTACGGACTGTTTGTTTTTGGTTTTGTTTGTTTGTTTTCCTTTTGAGTCACCTGTCAAGTTTCCATCTTGGGCACACTTCGCCTCTGGTTGTGCTCCTTTCAACCCTCTCTCCCCTCCAAATTTTGTGTAGTCCATTTAACTCTTTATCATGAAACTGAAGATGGTTGATAATCATCTTGAATAATTTGATACCCTCTTTTCACTGTCATTGTCTAACTTCCTATACTGTGAAGTTCTAACTGTCATGTACAAGTTTCTGTTGTATTCACAGAATACCACTGCACTCAGAAGACTGAAAAGATTATCTGATGTCTAGCAGATGAATTGGCCGCTTGACAGTTACATTTCCAATGTAAGTTATCTGAAACAACTTAACTAGAAACTGTATTGGAAGAATGTACTGGGGAGTAATGTAAAGTCTGTTGTATTGCTGTAAAGTATTGACAAGGAATAAAATGGCAATAAAGGTGCTTAATGAAGGAACTGACGCATCTGGTTGACTTTAAGTGGAGTTCTCTAGAAAGCTCTCTGCTTCAGCACAGTGGACTTTAAGCCAGGAGAGCTAGTGTGACAGAGGATAGTATCCCTTCTGCTTAATACTTAAAAGCTGTGGGGTCAGACCTCAGTATTGGACTTACTCTGGTTTCTCTGGTTTACGTGGACTTCCAGGCCATCCTGTGCCACCTTGATGCACCTTCTGTGTGTCACCTCTTCACAGAAATAGCATCCAGCTGTCAGAACCATGTTGCCTACTGTTGTTTCCCCACTAACTTCTCAACAGTTTAATTTAGGTCCTCAAATTTGACTGTTTCAGAATTTGGATATTTAGCAAAATTATAACTTCAGTGTTGGAATGTTTTAGTCATGCTTTAGTTAAATCTTCAAAGTGATTGTGTGCATGGATGCGCAACCTCATGTTTTTGCAATACTGATAGAATGGCGGGTTTAGATTATATATTTTTTTTAGATAATATAGATCATACAGGTTTAATTTATAAAAGGGTAAATTTAGAAAAATAACATACCTGTTCAAAACACTGGCAACTAAAGTCATATGGCTTCTCTTTATGGAATTCCATATTGTGTCAGTGAATACTCTTGAATTTGATTCCATTGTTAGAGTGAACATGAAGGCTGGCTTTTGGATGCATCCATTTTTTATCGTAAGAGGGAAGAGGAGGATTTGTTTGCCTTGTGCAATTACAAAACACAAGACAATGTCAGTTGAAAAGCAGAGAGTCAGTCAACAGTTTGTACTAGAAGTAGGCAGTAATTTTCCCAAATTGAAGATCTTTCTTGACACAAGTTTGAGATTTAACTTTCTGGCAGGTAGAGCAGAGCTTTAGTTACCTATATGAGTTACTGAACTCTTGAACTCTCTGCAGAATAACTTGTGTGTTGTCTTCCTTGTTGGCAGCAAGGCATAGGTATTAAAATTTAAAGGTGAGAGAGGAGGGGAAAGCAAATCTCTGAAGCGGTTACTAAGGGTACAACTGCAAGTTGAGGAGTGAGGAGAGACAGACTTTCCAAGCTTGTACCGCCTTAGCACCTAGCTAGTCTTCACATCTTTCTGCCCTAACGATATCTGTGCTGTTCATCAGACCAGTCAAACTCTCATGCTACCAAAACAACTTGAAAGCTTGTGTTTCCAGGGAGCTCTGAGGCTGAAATGAAGAAAGCTGCTGCCTGTGCTCATTGTAACTCAGTACCCATGCAGGGAGGAAAGACGGCATAATCTTAAGGACTTTCTCGTGGAGAAAAGTCAGGGAGAGGGGTGGGGAAAAAAGTAAAAATATCTTCCTTTTGTGCTTATGCACTGATAGACGAGTATGAGAAATTCTTGTTCTGGGTTTTTGTGGGAAGCTTCATGGTAATTTGTTTTCTGTGTCTCTCTTCTCTTCCCAGAGACGATGGGAAGGAACTTTTAATTTGTCAGGTGGCAAGCCATCAGGTCTAGGTCAGTAATATCCTGAAACAGAAGTTATTTTCATCCACAATCTCTTTAAAGAAACATGAATAACAAAAAATACATAAATAATAACCAACTGCATTGCCATCCCTTGCTCAGAATACTTAAGAATTCCTGTGTGCTAAAATTGCGAGATGTAGAGCTGCTAGGACCTCAGATTTTAAACTGAAAACAAAAAGCATTAATTTTTTAAAGCAGGTGATCAGGTACCTAGCTGATAGATAAAAGCACACAACTGTTCTGTTCATGAACGTACAACAGCATGCTCAGGAGAATAACTAACTTGAAATGCAGTTAAGCTAATGATGCATATTTTGTCCTTCTGTTTTTGCTTTTTACAACTTCTAGGGATTGTGTGTTGTAGGGACAAAGCTGAAAAAGCTATTTAGAGTATATTCTGGGGTGGTTATTAATAAAAATGTTCTTCAGGTTAAATGTGACTGGCTATTGAGATGGCTTGTATCTGAAGTGTAGAACTACCCAGGAAGTCTCGCTTCATTATGAAAGCTGTGAGCTGGAATGTACAAGCCTCACACTTTGAAAAACTAAACGAATGTAACAGGTATTTTATGCTGAAAAAGGTGGGTTTGCATCTGTACCAAAATAGCTCTATGAAGGTGGTTGTCACCGCACCTTACAACATCCCTCGTTGATCTAAAGTGTTTGATTTAGCTAAGATAGTTGTGAATTTGTTACCTGTCGTCAGACTAAAGAATCATGCTCAAATTGATCAAGTGTGTTCACTCCAGTTGTCTTTGCTGCACCCCGTGCACTGGAGCGTGAGGCAGACCTGCTGCCTACCTCTCCTTCTACACATCACCAACCCCATTGTTGGTGTTCAGCTAATAAATTCTTTTTTCAACCTTATACACCCACTGTTCTCATTAATGTGCCCATTGTTTCTTTATGTCAACCAAGTCCTTCTGTTTGTCCTGCCACTCCCTCCGCCGTGTATTACCTTTGCCTTCTCTCCCCTGTTCACTTCCTTCCACAAACTCCTTTGTTAATCTCTTCTGAACTGTTATCCCTGTAACTCTGAAGCAACATGATTGATATGATTATAATATATGTAATGGCTAAATTAAAACAGGTTGTTTTTTTTTTCAGGATTGCATAGCTATTTGTAATTTCAATTGGTTTAGCTTTTTTTGTTTAAACTCTGTATTTTCTTTCCCGTAATTTGTTCATAAGTGGGTAAATGTGCAGTGGGTGTTACTCCTTTTGTACAATTAACTGACCGTTGTGGTTTGGGGTAGAGGGGTCTGCCCAGGCTAACACTTTATTGGAAGCAGGAGCGTAGAGAGCGCAGGGGAGTTTAAAACTTGGCTAAATATGAATTATATTTTCGTCCTGTTTTTCTTCTCGAGAGGAATTAACGCCTCTTATTCCAATGCGGGGTTTCCTCCGGGCTGTGC